ACACACACACACACACACACACACACACACACACACACACACACAGGCATGCATTTTTTTTTCTATATGAAAAACGCTCACACATAATTTACACTCGTGAAATTTCTCACATTAAAAAAATTACCAAATACTTGCCAGAAGTATTTAAAATATGACACATGCTCCAGAAAATAAAAATTATAAGCGCTGACACTACACTGTCACGTAAACAAACAAAAACAGAAATAGACTGTATGAAAATAAGTTGTTTTCTGACTTTTTAAAATTGAGATAAAATAAGCTACATTTTTTTTTTAAATTTACTAATTATTATTAATATGAATAAAACATAAAAACTAAATCTAGTAATGGATAAATGCATCACAAATGTTAACATATTAAACGAAACAGCTTTTTACTGTAGCTCTGTTCATAATAATTTCTATATTTTTATGTACCGTTCAAGTGGGTTTTCATGTGTTAGGTGTGTGTTGTGTTACGTGAACATGGCAGTGTGTGTGGAGTGTTTTCCTCTCACTAATAGTGTCCGTGCTGGAACATACCTGGCGTGTGGACGAAGTAGGCCAGGTAAAGGTCCAGCTCCTTGACGGACACTCCGATGTGGTGCGGCTGGACYCACAGGCCGGGGTTGGTGCACTGTGGAGACTTGACCAGCCGCTCCCCGTCCGTGCTCTCTAGGGGGCTGCCCTTGAACAGGATGACCATCACCAGGTCCAGCCGCCACACCTTGTCGGCCTGACGCAGGCAGTCGATGCGGCGGATCTTGCCCTTCTGGTCGGGGTTGGACAGCACGCAGCAGGGGGGCTTTTTGCCTGTGATGGTGAGCACAAAGTCCTCACGGAACTCAGGCCGGATGTCCTTGCGGAGCTTGGCCAGCAGGCGCGAGGCCCACTTCTGCTTAATCTCTGGCTTCTCTCCAAGAAGCTCATCCTTCACCGCACGCTCTTCCTCCTTGGACATGCGCTTCTCGTGCTTCTTGAAGTATTTGCGCTTGCGGGCCTGCAGGTTGAACCAGGTGTAGGCGAAGGCGCGGACGTGGGGCAGGAGGGCCTCGATGAAGGGGTGGAATTCATCCTGGACGAGAGAGGAGGACGGGGGGAGGGCGGAGGAGGAGAGGGAGGAGGGGGGGAGGCAGGAGGAGAGCGAGGGGGAGAACGGGGGAGAGAAGGACGGGGAGAGAGGGAGCGGGGGTGAGGAGGGGAAGAGAGAAGACAGGCAGTTAGCACCGGCACGCAGCATGGAGGAGCGGCGCCTGCTCCGTGTGAGCGGAGGGAAAGAATGAGAGAGAGGCGCTAAGAGACTGAGAGAAAGAAAGAGAGATAGAGATGGGGAGAGAGGGAAGGATGCTTTACACTCTAACAGAGACACATCACACTGAAGGACACAAACACTGAACAACGCAACACTGACAGACTAAGGTAAGAGATGCCACGAGACAAGACTTTCCTGCAAGCGACGCTGCAAAATGTGCACATTTAAAAATATGAAGCAGACACAAAATCAGTTTAGTCCTAAATTTAAGAAACTACAAGACAAAAGAAAAATATCTGAAATTTTAAAATTATATTTTAAACTGTCTGTAAAAAGATAACACTGAAACATCATTTAAATAATGTCAACTTTAAAACACATTAAAAAATAACGCTCGGTGCATCTGCAATCCAGTTTTAGACTCATAAACAACGTTACTTAAAACACTCAAAAATATGTCAACAAAACCAAAAACAACCAGTAGTTACCATTTTGCTCTTTCATCATAAATTCACTCCAGCGATTGCACAGAACGTTTTAAAGCAGAACCGGTAGTGTATTGTTGAGCGCTGGGATTTTGGAAAACTAAAGACCAAAAAAAAAAAAAAAAATGAAAAAAATGAAAGAAAAAAGGAAAAACAGAAGCTTAAAATTTCCCAAATAAAAGCAGCAGGAGGGGGAGAATCTGACAGGCCAAAAAGGCAGAGTGTAATACCAGCYCAGGAACACAGGAGGTACTGGAGTAAGACCTGCGCAAGAGGTGCTGCTCAAGAGCTCAACAGAAGGAGAGTGAAGACAAGTTTTGCAATATCTCTGTCTGAATATAGATTTTTAAAGAGCTGGTTGTGCATGAAATAAATAAAAGCAATTATGCTGAAAAGAACCAATTAATCAAAAAATCAAAACAAGCTTCTTTGAAAAAAATTGTAGAAAAAATTATCTTGATGACAAAAAAACATGCACACACACACAAGAAAAAAAAGGGTTGGCAAATCGGCACGTGCTTTTGGTTCAAATCTGATCTGCATAGGAGTCACAGAGAGGGAGAGCTGGACAAGGAAGGAGGGGCGGTGCGGACGAAGGAGAAGAAAAAGAAGAAGAAGAAAAAAACAAGAGGACCGAGTAAATGTTGGAAGACTGTGCACGACCACTGGCAAACCCGAGTGCAGCTTCTTTTTTCTTTCCCCCTCTTTCTCTCCAACTCTGGCTCTTTCTGTCTCTCTTCCTCTCCACTTTCCGTCTCTAACCATTGACTGAGTCTGTGCCAACGTGCACAGGGCCCACCTATTTGGCACCGAGTCGCAAACAGCCCAGCCAATACGCACGCTCCCAGCGCTCAAAGGGAGGGAAGAGAGAGACATGGCACAGGGAGAAGCAGGGAGGTGGGGGTGTGGATGGTTGGTGGCTGGTAGTGGTGGGGAGCTGCATGTGTGCGGTGCAGGCAGAAGGCATGTCATTAGCCAAACAGACAAGTTCCAATCTACTGCAAAGGCAAAGTCCAGAGGATATTAATTTTACTTGCATCCAGACAGCACCCTCCTTCTAAAGCGACTGCCCCCCCTTCCTGTTCCTCACCACCTTCGTCACCAACATGGTCACAGCCATCCCAACAAACCAGCTCGCTCTCCAACCACCCCCACCCCAGGAAAAAAAACACCCGTCACTCCCTCTCTGTGCTCGCGTTACACCACCTTGGCATAGGATGGCATGAGAAAAACACACACACACACACACACACACACACACACACACAGACCCAAAATCCCACTAGACCCTGAGACCAGCAGCTGCTCCTGGATTTACCACACAAACAAAGAGAGGAGGGGGTGGGGTGGGGGGGGACCCCCACCACCACCACCATCAGCCCCAAACAAAAAATACCATCCAAAAACATGCTCTGTTTCAAAATGCACTCTTACATCCAAACTGGCCCTTTCTCCTCCTCCTCTCTCCATTTTTGTTGTTGTCACTCCACTTTAATAGCCCCCAACAGTTCCGACACAGAAACATATTAAAAGTTTCTGTTACCAAATTAGGGATCAATCTCAGACGGCTGAGATAAACAGCGTCGTGCAGCGGCCTATGTGTGTTAAACTAGACACACAAGCATACAACACTCATGGCTTCAGATACAGGCCCCCCCTCAAACTCACTTACTCCTCTGGCAAATAAATGTGCTCTACGCAGAGGTTGTTTTTTTTATAAACACCATAGAGTGTCCCATTGTTGATATAATATGATGTTTTGTTTGTTTTTTCCCTCATCTTCCCTTGTGTGGTTTTTAGTTTTTCTGTTGTCAAAGGTAGCTCAACTGTGTTTGCTGCATGACCGGTTTCACCTGTTCTCCCATGTTTGTCTTGTATGTCTTCTTGAATGGTTGTTTCTTAACTGCCCTTCCCCCCTTCCCTGAATGTACAGCACCTTGTGAATTTATTTCTATGAAAGGCGCTAAATAAATAAAACTTTGCTTTACTTGAGACCTCAAACATACAATCTTCTGCCTTTTATCCAGAAAAAGTTTTGTTTCTTATTCCGAATGTTTCCTCTTGAAGATATATATATATATATATATTATAATAATGCATTATAAAATTATGATATAAATAACAAAAGGGTGAAACACAAGCCTGGTTGGTTGTCCTGGGCAGTTAGCTACGTAACCTCAAAGGGTAAAACTGTGTCCTCTCCACCTTGAGAGAAAAAGCTAGCGTACTCTCACCAAGAACGTGTTCAACTTAATCTGATGCATTTGCAATTTCTTATTTGGGCAGGTTTTAAATCATTTCAAAACACTCCTCTTCTACAGGGTGTTTAAACCTTCAACCACTTTCTGAACCTGCTTTTCCTTTCCAGCTCATGGGGGGGAACTGGTGTCCATCTTAGTCAGRGTGTGAGAAGCAGGGTACAGCCTGGACAGATCGCAAGTCCATCACAGGGACACACAATTCACCCTCTCACTTACATAGGGACAATTTATACCAGAACGTGGAGAAAACCCATGTGTGCATGGAGAGAACATGCAAACTTCACCCAGAAAGGCCTGGCAGTCAAAGCGGTAACTTATGACAGCTCTAACCGCTGCCCCATCATGCCACCTGCATTAATACATTTGTCTCCCAAATTACACACACAAAAAAAGAGCGGAAATAAAATGGAACGCGTTTGCTAAAATGTGCTGTCCAAACGACATGAATTAGTCCATGAGGCTCACAGGAATTATAGAGATATTGTCAAAACTGGAATCTCGACAGTGGGCAGCCTTTAAAAGCTAGCTTGTCATGTGGCAAAGTTGAGGGCACAGCCATGTGATTGTGGTCGAAGCCACCTGCTGTGCGACGGGACAAGTTGTCTGTGTGAACGCCCTACAAAGGCCAGAGTCCTCTGGTTGGCTCCCAGGACCATCAGATTTAGTGGTGGCCTGCCCCTTCTGTCAGTGTCTGACAGAGGAGCTTCAGCCCGGATGACTGGCTGCGCCACTGAAAGCCTGGCAGGCCGGCTGTAAGGTTGGCTGAGACGCCGTATGGCTGGCTGGGTGAATGACTAGTTGGCAGCTCAGGTAGGTAGATCGCTGGCTAGTTGAATGCCTGGCTTGCTGGCCCCGGTCACTGCTATTAGACCGGGCCGGACCGGGCCTGGTGCCGCTTGTTCACTCTAACATACGCCTGCCTTGCGCAGCCGAGCTGAACATGTGAAAATATTGGGGTGGGGGAGGTAGCGGAGGGGAGATTGATGCAAATTGAACACGAGGACATGGAATTAAAACAGCTGCGTTTGATTTGTATTTTTTGTTTTAGAATAATAAATAAGGTGTTTGCTTCTTTATTTGAAATGACAGGGAGGATTTAGATGAAGGCGTTTTGTGACAAATGTGACAAAATTCCACAAACTCATTAGATGACTAACAATACCTTCCCCTTTTTATTACTGAAACARGAGACACCTTTGCTTTTGTTGTTCCAACCCTGAAGCTTTTTTTATGGCATGACTCGTTCAAAAAAAAAAAAAATCACAACAAGCCTTATTATGATCATAAAATGGGTTGAATGCAAACAGCTCAGTGCACAATTTGCTCAAAGCAAGGTTTTTTTTTATGATTTAGGCCAAGATTTGAATGTGTGGCACCCTGCTATTTAATGTGTTTTCCCCCCTCTTCATGGCATTTTTAAGTCCACATTTTCTTTAGCTCATTAGTGAAGTTTGCTCCTGTTTGCTCAGAGATCTTTATAACAACAAAGGGTTGGTTTTTCAGGCCTCTGCCACACTGGATTTTGCACCTAGTTACCTGCAGTGCAACAATTTAAGTCAGAGTTCATCTTATCTCCGTTTACCATGCTCTGCCTTTCAGAAGGAGATGACCTTTGTTTGTCAGGCTGGATAAATCTATTTCCCTTTCAAACCGTGCCACAGGCCAACTCAAAGACTGGAAGAAACAAAAAAAAAGAGAAAAAAAAACTTTTTAAATGTTTTAAACCAGGTGAATAGTAGCAAACACAATTACTCTGTTTTAGAGAAAAGTAATAAAAAAGCTATAACTACTAAGCAGGACTTTAATTATTAACCTTTTAAAAGGCTTTTATTAAGGGAATAATGTGACACCGAAGTGGCTGAAACACATCAAAAGGAAATTTAAACTGTAATAAGTTGGTTTGCAGAGGCAGGACTGATTATATTTTTGCTAATTGTTTTACACCACATTAAGCCTTCTAAATATTAAGGTGTTCAGCTGAAAGGGGTGGGCTAAACTCCACTGTTTGGCCTACTCTGCACCCCCACGTTTAAATAAAATAATAAAATAAATAAAGTATTAATATTCTCATAATGAAATAGAATAAAAAGGAAACCTACTCTTGTCGACGTCAAACGCTGGTTTGGACCGTATCAATGTCTCATTTCCGCACCATGCACTGACAGACGGTGTTCCTGCTCCGTCCTTATATTTATTTAAATAAAATAAAAAAAACTCTTTTTAATAAGAGTTAAATACGTGTCCTAAACTCGACTACTCTTAATATTAGAATGGTTCAAATGTGCACATTTTCACGCAGTAAATGACGAACGTGGGTCTTTTTTAAAATGTTCCTCTCGGACCGGTGTTGTGCAGAAAAAAGTCCGCCCTCCTGTCAAAGGTCTCCCGTCATTGGCCAGCGTGAATGCCGAACATCGGCTGGATGAAAGGAAAAAGGAGGGGGGTGGGGGGGGATCCCTGTATTTGTCCTGGCCTACATTATTTTATTTATTTATTTACCAGAAACTATGACCTAACAATCGCTTTAACATGTTTACTTAATATAATCTGCGTCATTTTTAGGATGAGGATAAACAATCTATGCATTTTTTTTAAATTAGCCTTGATCTTGTCTATGGACTTTATTTGCATGTTAGTGGTTTTAGCAAGAACTCTGACTTGTTTCCATGCTGTAAATACCTATAATACTTTTAGCCTAGCTGAGAATTTTTTTCCAGGAATTATTCTCAATGAACAAATTGTTACCAAAGAGTTAAACATATCCAGTGAGACGCAGGAGAGCAGATCAGGCAGCTTTAAAGCCACATCCTTCATGTTA